AATTTTTATTCTATTTTCTTAATCAATATGTTAATTGATTATAAATCTTTGTAGCCCTGTAGTCAATTAGATTTTTTTAAAATACTACTTATACATATAAACTTGATGAATAGTATTTAGATCCAAAATAAGCCGAACATTAACGAACACATATTTGTTTGTGTTCGGCTCGGTAGCTTATCGAACGAAATTAACGAGGCGAACACGAGCTTCTTAACGAGCCGAACACAAGTTGGTCGCGAACAACGAGCCGTTTTGACAGTCCTACATGTAAAATGTTAAGCCACCAACATGGAAAAATGATTACATCAGGACTCCGCATGTAGAGCTGTTTGTGGAGTCCAATCTCAAACTGACATGTGGAAAAGCCGGGCCCGACCTCCATAAAAAAAAATAAATGAAAACGCGCGGCCCGACCCTATCGTGTTATAAGAATATTTCTTTCGTGTTATTCTGAATATTTTTTGTGTTATTCATTTGTTATTGAGGTGATTTTAAGATATTATTATTCGTTAAACAATAATATTAATAACACATGAATAACGCATAAAATATTACTTCAATAACACAACAATAACACATCAATAACAAATTAAAATCATGCGACCCGGCTCGACCGTGTTATAAGAATATTCCCTTTACGTTATTCTGAATATTTTTAGTGTTATTCCTGTGTTATTGATGTGTTATTCGTAAATAACACACCAATAACATATTAAAAACACGAAAAATATTTCATGATATGAATAACACCTCAATAACACACCAATAACACATGAATAACACGAAAAATATTTAGAATAACACGAGAAAATATTTGATCGGACTGGACTGAACGTTTTCAGTATTATATTTTATTTTTTGTGCAGGTAGGCCTCGGCTTTCTACGTATCAGCTTAAGATTAGACTCCGAAAACAACTCTATATGCGGAGTACTAATATAATAAATTTTCACCAACATGACATGTAAAATGTTGAATTAGTTTTTCATTCTTTTACACATTGCATGCTACAAGGGTGTTTAACTGCAAGGAGAATAATATTAGTTGCTCAAGTAAATCTGTTAAATCCACCTACTTTTATTTAATCTGAATCTAATCCGTTAATCTTTGGTTTTTTTTTTTAATTTTTGAATTTTCTTTTTATATTATAAATATATTCATTTAATATGTTTTTTAATCTGTTTTTATTTTTTATTTTTAAAATAGAGTCAATATGTTTTGAAAAGACTCAATAATTATTTTAAATATTTTTAAATATTTTTAAAAATACTTATATTTTATTTCAAATGAAATGAAATAAACATAAAAAGTAGAAATAAAAAGGGAGATTTTTTTTACATTGAGGTCCTAAAACAATAGTTATTACATAAAAAAGGTACAAGAAACACAAAAATTAAAATTATTGTTAAAGTCCCGACATTGCTTTTCCTCTCAGCTCGAAACCCTCGCCTGCATCCTTCCTCCTCCCGATTTCGTGAAATATTTGTGTACATAAGATGTACGCAGCGCTGCGTACATCAGAGATTATTCTAGAGTACAGAGAAATTATATCCGGGTTATACCGGAGGTTACAAGGCTATAACCCAAATATAACCCCATTATACCCCTAAGGCAAATATTTCTCCCCGGTTTCACCCAAATCTCACTTCTCCGCCGATCACGACTTACAGAGACCGGCGAATCTCCCATCTTCCTCATCCTTCCGCTCGGATCCTACCAGAAATCATTGAGGAAGGTAATCCTGTTCGCCATTCTTCCTCTTCGCTCGTAGGACGTAGGCGATCGCGACTTTCAGTGACCACCGAAACTCCCATCTTTCTCATCCTTCCGCTAGGCTCCTACTAGAAATCATTGAGAAAGGTAAGCCTGTCGATAGAGAAGTTGATAAGAGTGTTAATGAAAATTATTTTTAAGAACGTCGATAGAGAAGTTGGCATAGTAACGATAAAACTCATAGCATTGGAGAACATGAAAAGGTTGCATAGTTAGACAGATCTTGAGAGATTTAGAAGCCAAATGCCTTAATGGTTCGTGATAGAAATCAGCTGTAAGAAATTTCTATTGAAGTGATAAGTGCGATAGAGGTAAAAGAGATAAATCATTTTTGTAAGTTAGTGATAACAATGCAAGTGTTGTCTCGTAGGTCACGTGATCAACAAGCTCAAATCTAGGGATTTTTGTGATCAACATTAATGTTGATCATTAATAACAGTGGGCAGTGAGGTCAAAAATGATGCACAATAATGGCAAAGATAGAGCCCGTATGTTTTTGAAATAGTGGCAACAAATAACGTGGAGGTCATAATTGTTGGGTGAGTGCAATAAGTGACGCACATTGGTAGAGTTTGGGAAGGCATAATCAAAGGAACTAGAGAGGGTAGGCTTAGCTTAACTTACACGAGTCTTACAGGAGAATAACAAAGGTTATAATGATCAAATTTGGTTTGCACACCCCTAGCTTTATTGAATGGTTATAAAGCTAGCAATGTGAACATCAAAATTGTCTGGGGAGGTTATAATGATCAAAATTAGAAAGAATAAATTAAGGAATAATTATATTAAAAGAAATGTTGGAGTGATATCTTTTGAGGATAAAACGACTGAAAAAAGACTTGAATGATTTGAATATGTATAATGAAAAGTAGAAAATGCATCATCAGGCAAGCAAATAAAATTAGCATGGATGATGGGAATGAGCAGCCCTAGTTATTTGGATAGAATTTGTGCAAAATGCCTTGTGAAAACTGTCTTCAACCAAATGAATGGAAAATGAAGGTTCATGAAGTTGAATCCAAATATTTGGGATAAACTTGATAGTTTGATGCTGTATTTTAATTGGATGTTCTGAATTTGGGAATCTAATCTTGTCACCTTGCTTGAGTACTCTTTGAGATGAATCATATTTATTTATTCTAACATGGCTGTTTTTATAATTAATTAATTATATTGGGGAGAATACTGTGAGCAACATTTACTCAAGATAAGAAAGCTTATAGGTTCCTTTAAAGGATTCATGGAGGAACCTAAGGAACATTAACTTAGTGAGGTACTAAGTCCAAGCTTATATGAATTACCTATAATAAAATTCATACAACCTTGCTAGTTTATATGAATTAGATCAATTCCAAGCTACTCGATGGTCTTCTTTTCAAATACAAAATCATGTCTAGTAAATATTTCCTCTTAACATTAAGAGTTGATAAGTAGATTTTTATTATTTAAAATTCCACATAGTAGAGTATATCTTCTATAAAAAGAGTATATAAACATAATCTTTTCTTTAAAATTTAAATCTTTGCGTGAAAAAATAGGTTTAACTCTTGCTTATGCCGCTCTCTCAAGACTCTCATGGTTTGTTTGCATATGGAGGTTGTCTAAGTTAGAGGTGATTCTTTTTGCCGGCACAAAAGTAATTTTTAACATGGAAGAAAATTAAGCATTATGTATATAATTCTTCACTTATCACTTGATGTCAGGCAAGGCTACGACAAATGACCTTTTAGGTCAAATTTTAACCTGCTTGATCTCCAACTAACTGTTCTAGGAATTTTAAAATTCCATACACTATAGAAAACCACACAAATTGCAAGTTTAGGGCCGCAAAGAAATTTATTCAACCGTCCAAGATCTTGATTTGTGTGAGATCACTTTTACTTTTTGGGGATATAAATTCTATACTTAGCTGGATGGTTAAAATGGAGAAACATATTTGTGTTTTGTGCTATAAGAGAATATCACGGAGTTTTAAAAGGTAATTTTAATAAATTATAGTTTAATTGGCAATGTTGAATGGATCTAAATATTTGGCGGTTAAACATTTATTGACGTCTAATTTGAATGTGATAGAAATGATAAATTTGATCATATTTTTTCATCTTAACATACCCGAAGCCTGAAATCTAATAAATGCAAGCCTTGTATCAAATATATCCCTTGAGGTCTATACAAGAAAGAATAATTCCAACCAAGATTTCTAACAAGTCAAAGATTCAAAACCACTACTTGGTAACACTAATCAGGCCACCACTACTCATTTATATTTTATTTCTTAAGATAGCTAATTTTATAAATTTTCTCTTTCTCATGGTCTCTCTAACCAACAATCATGTTAACTCCATTTATATTCGGCAAATTTTTCATTTGAGATACTTGATAACAGTAATTGGAAATGTGCCATGTGAAAACAAATTAGAGCCTTAGAAAAAATCATACATAAGATATTGTTGACTAACAAAAGGAAAGAAGACAGTACGATGCTAATGGATGGCCACTATCAAACACAAAGCCGATGAGAGCCTAAAAATGTACAAAGCAAGAGTTGTAGCAAAAAGAATATACTCAATCATATGAAATTGACCATCATAATATATTTGTTCATGTTGCAAAATTAAATATCATTCATATTTTTATATAATTAGTAGCACATTATGGGTAGCTTATATTATAATATGATGTGAAAAATGTTTTCTTATATAGAGACATTAATGAAAAAATATATATGAATTTATCTCTGGGATTTGATAGCTCATTTAAGAAGAATCAAATATGCAAATTGAAAAGGAGTTTCTATGGCCTAAAACAATCACCCAAAGATTGATTTGATTGATTTACTAAAACTATGGTGGGAATTGGATTTAAACATAGCCAAAGAGACCACACTGTCTTCATAAAATACTTTTCTTATTGTAAAGTTTCAATTTTCATTGTATATGTTGATGATATAGTAGTTTTAGGGGGATGACAGTTAGGAAAAAGATACTCTCAAAAAAATACTTGCTTAAAAAATTGAAATCAAAGGAATAAGAAATTCAACTATTATTTGGGCATAAAAGGTGTATAATCTAAACAGGAGATGTTTCTCTCACAGTAGAAATATATCATGAATTATTGAAAGAAATTAAGATGATAGAGTGTAACCATGTGAAACTTTAATTGACTATGATAAAAACTGGATCTTGATGAAGAATGAATTGATGTAGAGACATGACAATATGAATTGTTAGTAAGAAAATTAATCTTTTTTTGTCATACTCCGGTCCTAACATTGTTTTTGTGTTAAGTAGCCAACCAATTCATGCAGAAGCCCAAATAGTCGCACCTTTAAACTAATGCATGGTACCCTACAAATTAGAGGATATAGATTTGTCAACTATGATGGATTGTTGGTCGATAGAAGATACACTTAAGAACATTGTACATTCTTGGGAGAAAATCTCATAATTTGAATGAGTAAGAAACAACCTATTATTTCAAGATCAATTTTTGAAGCCGAGTTTAGAGCCATTGCCCTAGGGATCTGTAAGCTTATAACGATCAGAATCATATTAAAATATTTAAAAATAATGTGAGAAGAGCTTATGAGAATATGTTGTAATAGCAAATCGGCTCTCAACATTATCACACAAAGCATATTGAGATTGATATTTTTCATTAAAGAGAATTTGAAAAGTTGGTTGATTTGCACTCTATATGTGCCTATAGGGAATCAATAGGTCGACATATTTATCAAAGGATTATGCATATCCACATTAAAAAAATATTATATACAAATTTATAATGTTATATTTCTATCATCTAGTTTGAGGGGGTGTTGAATTTCTTCTTCTCTCTCTTTTGTGGTGGGGCCCACTTAATCTCCAATCATGGCAAAGAAATTAAGGCACGCCGAATAATATTTTGGACCATTGAATCGATTTCCATAAAGCCCTAAAATTCTAATCCTTGTGCTTTCTCTATAGGGTTGCTGACCCGTATTATTTTTCATTTTTTTTTTTAATTTATTCCTATTTTATAATGACTTTTGAAGATGTACATCTATTTGCACCCTTATACAACTCTTTTCTTTTATTTTCTACAAGTTATATTGAAGTATAAGTGTGCATTATTTGGTCAAAACCAAAAAATTGAACTGAACCGAACAAATTTGGTTGATTCGATTTTTTGTTTTTGAAACTTTAATATTCGGTTTTTTTATTTTAATTCGCTTTTAATTTTCATTTAACCGAACAAATCAAAAAACCAAAATTTAATTAAAATTTCTTATTTTATTTTAGGGGAATTTACATACATACCACCCAATTCCTATCTATTTGTATATCTAGCTCCTAAACTTTACTTTTTTACATTAATAGAACCTAAATCTTTGATACCACATCAAAAATAACATCATTTTTAACAACATCATTTTTAACTTTGAAAAACAAAATTAACATCATTTTAACTTTGAAAATATGAAATACATTTTTTTTTTTTGCAAAGGGAAGGCTACATTAATGTAAAAATTGAAGTTTAGGTGTAAGATATGTAAATGCGTAGGATTTAATTGGCATGTATGTAGGTCTTTTTATATTTTAATTTCATGTTGAATAAATAAAAAAAAATTAAAGTTTACCCTATGTGCAACATTTTATTAAAATAAATAGATGATTCATTAAATTAAATTGATATTATACATGTGCAATATGTCATTCATAATATTCGTTTACCATCAAATTCCAACAAATAATTAGATTCGGGTTTTTTTTCATTACCAAACCGTTTAAACCAAATTAAATTTTTGTCCTGTCAGTTTTTATTGGTTTGGATTTTTGTATTTTGGATTTAAGTTGAAACCAGTATGGAGAATTTGTATTCCGATCCATCCAAACCGACCGAATGCTCACCCCCATATTAGAGGAATAATGGAAACAACATTTATTGAGAATGAGAGAATAAAATAGAGCTCTTTGGACTTGCATTGATTGGTGGAATCGGTAGAGAAAATTATCATCTAAGGATTAAGAAGGTTAGATCAAAAGGTAGCACAAATGCAAATAGATTTGTTTAAAATATGCTTATTACTTTTTGAACATTCAATATGAACAATGAGAACGAGGACATAAAACTGACCCTAGATAGTTGGGATATGCTAATAATGAGGTTATTTGTTTGTCTTTTTCTGTATCCATAAACCCTTGGACACATTCATATAACATGGTTTTGGTATTTACTGTGATGACCTTTTGCTTCATAGCAGGTTTTTTATCTCTCTCAGAACATCACTGGTGGTAGTGCCAAGAGATTTCTATGGGTCTTCTAACCATTATCAGGAAGATAAAGAGGAAGGAGAAGGAGATGAGGATTCTTATGGTGTAGGTCTTTCTACAAAACATTTTTTCTTTTTTTTTCTCCGTAGGTGTTTTTTTATTCACCATTACTTTTATGTCACAGCGGACTGGACAACTCAGGCAAGACAACTATTGTGCTCAAGATCAATGGTGAGGACACTAGCATCATTAGCCCTACTTTAGGCTTCAACATCAAGACCATCAAGTACCAGAAGTGAGCCTTTCCCTTTTTTTATTTATTCAGCCCCCTCTAATGCTAAAATATTTTTTCACTTGCATTTAATTTTAATTCTACTTTGGAAATGAGGCAGATATGTCTTGAACATTTGGGATGTTGGAGGGCAGAAAACAATCAGATCATATTGGAGAAACTACTTCGAGCAGACTGATGGCTTGGTGTGGGTTGTAGATAGCTCTGATGTGAGAAGAATGGATGATTGCAGAATGGAGCTTGAAAATCTCCTCAAAGAAGAGGTTAGATCTCAATCACTTTGCTTTCAATCCTCTCTCTGGTTTGCATACTATGACTCCTAATTCTCCTACAAGCTAGTGATCTTTCAGCTTGTGTTCATCCTTGGCAAAAAACCCAACTTTTGTGCTTGCTCTTGCATTAAAATCTCTATGTGCCTTCTCTCACACACAACCTGTGTCACCACTACTGTTTTTGTTGCACTCATAGTGCTTCTTCCTTGCACATCTCTCGTGCACAAGCCGACCGTTTGATAATCCTCCATCCCTTTCGCACAACAAATTGTTGACACTAACGCACATTTTCATCCTGCTACATCTCTTACTCACACCTAAAATGATAAATTGTAACCATCTGAATCGCTAATATATCGTCGCCAATTTCTCACAAGGGCTTACCGCATGTGACTCTCTTCATTCCACGACTCACCCCCTTTGCTATTTCCTATTGATAACTTTTGTGCTCGTTCCTTCAAACGACTCGACCCCCTTGCACATCTACCCTTAGCAACCATTAACACCACTGTTGCTCCATAAATGTTCATAACAAAAAATATTGCACATTATTAGTCAGTGTAGTGTAGCGCACCCGTGTTATTTGCATGGCAAAGCACAAAAATGCAAATAACTTTTTTTTTTTTTTTTGTGTTGCAAATAGTACACATGCCACACATTTTATTTTTATAGTATATTTTTAATTGTTTTTAGCTTTAGTTAATTAACTTGAAAGAATAATAAAACATTGCTGGAGTTTAAACATGTCATAATGAGTGTATAATCATTGTTAACTTAAGATCTCATGCAAATGTATTTATTTTGTTGTCTAATTAAGGCTACTTGACAAAATTGTAGGAAGTAAACTATATATATTCACGAACAATTACTAAACATAAAGTATAACTTAAATGTTGATATAAAATAGAAAAGAATGTGGTACAATATTTAACTGAAGGCAAAAACATTGGGAGAGAACTGAACTCAAAATCTTGAACACGACTGTCTGGTCCTTGTGCTTCTTGGAGCACTAAATGAAGCCTTTATTTACTCTTGCTAAGCCATGAATGGGCCAACTAGCTTCAGCCTTTTGAAGCGTGCTTCAGCAAAGCGATGGAGGCGTCAAGCACTTTGCTTCACTTTGCATGTGAAGCGTGCTTTTAAGAACATTGTTATTATTATTATTAAATTGTAAGATTGTATGAATTTTAAAGAAATAAACATGCGAGTAAAAAAAAACCCAACCCTTCCTTTCAATTAGCAATGAGAACGTATTTAATTTGATTCACAAATAAGGGTTTGCACCGTTTCTTTACTAAAATTGGAGCAATATATGTTGAGGACTTGATATCATTCTAGGGTTCCTAGGAGGTATGAAAGAATATAAGAAAGGGATAGATAAGAAAAGCGGGAGGGTGGAGATCGGTTGAAATTTGGCTTGAACGGTGGGATGACTATGAATCGGAAGCGTAAAACAATTATTTTCTACTGTCAAACAACAATATGCAGCAAATTGGATGATGAAGGAGGCCGCCAAACATTTGGGAGAGATCGTTACTGTCATCCTATCAGGCTATAAACATATCACCTGAAAGAAATTCAAAGAGAAAGCACTCCAATAGGAAAAATTAGGAGGAAAATCTTCAAATAACATAAACGTAATCAAAAGTCTCTCAATAACCAGATATAAATAGATTATATTATAAAAAATCTAATTAGAAATAGATAAATAGGATATAAATCCTACATAAGCTTCAAATAATAAAATAATAAGAATTAGTATATGGCGACAAATATTACGAGTGGGAAGGTCTATCAGGATGAAATCTCGTCCTGATTCTAGTGTGGTCGGGAAACTCTTGCGGGAATCTTGCGATCTGATCCTAGATCACTGGAAGACATGAAGGTAGGCTTACGTCTTCAGCTTGAATGTGATCGCATGTTTCACACACTTGTTCTGCATCATTCTCCGCTAATAGGAGGGGCTTTGCCTTATTCACTTGAAGATTCTGGAAGTGATCTATCACCATCATAACAAAACCACAACCTTGTTGTGTTTGAGGCAGCTCTACTTTAAAATTTATGCTCATGCTCATTCCAAACAGCTCTAAAACACATTCATTATTCCAGAAATTGCCCCAATAAAATAAATTGTCATTCTTTTTTGGTACAACTTCAATGGGAATCACACATTGATGGTTATTCTCATGAATCAAGTCTTGGGTCATTAAATGTAAAATATTTATCCCACTTCTCGTACTTGGCTGAATGCATCTAATAAATAGGTATGTCTGAAGATACTAACTCTGGAATGAAATCTATGATATGATGGGCCATTCTCATTTGCCATCACTCAGGAGATAAACTATCAATCAGGATATCGACAAATCCTTCAACAAGGCACCCCCTTTTATTGTATTGACTTTTCAGACTCATTGCGTATATGAAAATCAATATTAATCCTATTGGAGTCTTTCTCATGCGCTCAACTTGAAGCACTAGCATCTCTTCCACATCAGCTCTGCGTATAAGAGGTGGCCTCTTGGTGACGTTGATGTTTCTCCATCTTCAAAGCTATGGTCTGAACATCTTGTACTGTGTTATAAAGCTGTAATCGTATCATATTGCCAACGGGCGACCTCAGTCTTCTCAGATATCTAGTTATGGTGTTCTCCTCGGACTCTACTAGCTCAAACTTAACATAAGTTGTTTGAACTCAGCGGTGTACTCATAAACGTCACTAGGAACATACCTTATATGTAATGAACCGGTAAGTATTTGTGCTATATCGGTACTGATTGCCTTTCCCTTCACGCTGACATGGATGCTTCAATTTTTTCCATCACTATTAGGGGTGTAAACGAACCGAACACGAACAAACAGAGCATGTGTTGGTATTCGATTCATTTGAAATTTAGTTTGTTTGAAATAAGCTCGTGTTCGAAATTGTTCGTGAAGTCAGTATTCGTGTTCATTTCTTAACGAACGAGCCAAACACGAGTTGTTCGCGAACGACGAGCCAATTTGACATCCCTAATATTAATATATATAAATAATTTATTATATTAATTATATAAATTAATATTATATAAATATATAGTATCTATATTAGTATATTACTAATATAGTATATTGATATATTATTATTATTAATTTATTATATATTATAATTTATAAAATTTAATTTTTTAAAGTATCATAAATTTTTTATATATAATTATTTTATATTTCGAACAATAACGGTTCGAACACGAACGAACGTATCACTGTTCGTGTTTGGTCCGTTTAACTAACCGAACGAAAAATAATTTGTTCATGTTCCTCTCGTTTACTTATCGAACGAATCGAACACGAACTCATTGACGAACCGAACATGAATTGTTCGCGAACAACGAGGCTTTTTGACAGCCTTAATCACTACTTGTGCTTGATGGCTACTAGCTTTACCCTTTTGTTAGGTGAAACATCATTGTATTCAAAGATTTGTTCCACTGTTCAAGCCACTCTATAAATTCATCCTTATTCATGTGATAGTCAAAATCCATTAAATCCACATTTACTCTAAGATCTTTGCTTCTCTATTTTATACCAAATTGTTGGGGTATTGGTTCTTTGTCACTAGAAACTTTCTGATGGAAGAGGTTCATTTTCTTTCCTCGATATAGTGAGTCACCGTTTTGATTATGAATAACCTCGCCGGATTTTCTCCTCTCGAAGGCGGCAAGCTTCTGTTATGGTTGAAGGATTTCCTATTGCATATCCTCCATGGTAAGTTCCTGGACATCGCATTAAGGGTTTCTCTGATATGATTTGATGTAGAAATCTGCACAGTTTTTAACAAAATTTAAGACAAACATAATTTTATTGCAATAATCCAAACAACTGAATAAGAACACAATGATAAGCACCTACAATTCAAGCGGAGACGATCTCTCCCAATTTCTACAATTTGAGAGGTAGGAAATCTCTCAAACTCTAGACCTAAGAATCACAACTCAATCTCATGCATAAACATAATCCTAAGCATAACCTGCCTGTTTATACTCAACAATAATAATAAAAAAAATTAAATTGCCCTTAGACTTATAAAAGACACATTTTCCTTTAGGCTAGGCAATAACGTAACTGTACTCCCTCCCCAAAAGATCCTGGTCCTCAGGGTGGGAAAAGTGGGAGTGTTCCTCCACCACAACTGTCTCTAATCCTTCATCATCTACCTCCTCATCATGCACTATGAGAACTTGTAAATTTCGATCATTGCAACTGTCTTGGAGTAAACTTTTCATCACGTTGAATCTCCATAATCTATCCCTATAAGGCGCTTGAGCGTCGCTTCAAGTCGTGGCCTATTATTCCTATCCTGTTCAGCCTCCCTCTTGATTTACACTGTTTGAACTTTTGGCATTATCGGGATTGCAACAGTTCAATATGATGTTTCATTTGTGCTGCTTTTGTTGGCCTTCTTCAACTGGTTCTTGTCTTCTACCATCCGGGTTAGCTCCACCATCTCTCTCAATCCTCACAATCTTAATAGTAGTGCTGCCCGCCCTTCATGAAATTCCCCTCGAGTCCTGCTTTATAAATCTCCCACAGTCATTTCGACGATAGTTCAAATCTCTCATCCCGAGCAAGGCATAAAATTGCTCATGTAGGTCTCCTTTTCGAATGACTCGGAAATGTTCCAACAAACAATCTTTAAATTCTTTCTACGAAGGAATCGGGTATGTGCCACTTTCCATTGAAACCAGGCTAAGACTTTCCCATCCAAACACAATCCTGCCGCCATGAGTTTCTCCTCCCTATCTAACTCATTCACCGTGAAGTATTGCTTCGCCCGATACACCCCTCCATGTGAGAATTCCCCTCGAATATCGGTATCTTCAACCTCCTAACTTTAACAACTCAACCTCAATTTCCTCTTCCTTCGTTGTTTTCCCTCATGTATCGAGGGTAAAACTCCCTCCTTCGATTGCTGCCATATCCCTTCCCTGCTTATCTCCTTTCTTCTTCTT